GCAGTTGCTGCATCTTGGACAATTGTTTCAAATATTCACCTCCGTCGCCGGACGTACATCCCAGAGACTGCACGTGTCGGTTCGCTTTGCTGCATAGAGCGGCGTCGTCCGAATAACCGTTAAGTATACAAATGGTAAATAGCAAGACAACAAATAATAATAATTACGACACGTTATCAGAAACTGTGGTTTTCACTCGATCTTTGTGATTTGTATTTGATTGATTATTGGTTTTTATTATTATATACACACGCATTATATTTGTATGATATATACAGTGAAACCTGTCTTAACGGACACCTGTATAATATAAAAGACATCTCTCTTGAACGGGCAATATGATAATATCCCGGCAAAAATATATGACATTGTAATATTTATAGGTAGAGATCTGTCTATATATAAAAGACAATTGTCAATAAAGGACACTTTTGATGATCACCCGACTGTCCGTTATAAAAAAGTTTCACTGTATTTATCTTTTATATGTATAAAGTATATTATACAGGTACATTGTATGGGTATGTATTATGTACTGTAAAATCTGGCAACAATGATAGAGAAAAGGTTTTCTACAGAATTCTGTTTAATTCGACAACTTTATGCCACGATTATATAAATATGATTGACAGATTTTACGGTTCATAGAATTACTATACTTCGATGTAAAAGCACGGTGTTCTTTTTTCTCTTTAGTTTTAGGTATGTTTTTTTTCTTTTTATTTAGTTTGTTAAAAATAATGTATTTAGTTTTGATTGCTAATTTTAGTAATGAATTATCTACCACATAACTATTCTAGGTATTAATAGTATTTATACACATTACCTAATATTCATATCAAAGATAAACATGTAACCATGTTTCACGTTTAAGTAACATTTTGTGGTGAAATAATATTTTCAACTAGGTGCCTACCTACTCAGTCAAGATATCGTTCATTGAAGCTTAAGGAGTTGTCTTAATTGCGCTAACAAAACTTTAGCAGACTAAAGCAGTTCTGCGGTGTATTGAAATAGCGTGTGGTGATAGTGTAATACAGTATAGAACAAACTTTTGTTATAAAGTTTTCCATTGTGTTGGCATACTATATGGCGAAAGCCGATAACTGAGATGACTTAAAATATATTTAAAATAATCTGATTGAAATGTATACTTTTGTATCACAGGTTTATATATTATAGTACAATTATTTTAGGTATATTATATTATAGATGACAATAATACTAACTACAAGTAAAAATGTTAATAGTAATTCATTATTTAAAAATATTCATTCTTCTTTATAATAAATTTATAAAAGCTCCTACCAGTATATTTTAATGAAAAATATTTTTATTTTTAAATAGGAAGACTGTTTAATAATAATTAACAAACTGCCTTATCCTTAAATTAGTAAATTGGTACCTATCTAAAACGATCATAAAATCGAATGTGTAGTATATTAGAACATATATTGTGTGTTTAATATAAATTATAGTTTTAAATAATAACCAATATATCTAGATGTGATAGATATTTAATTTTTTAAATAGTTTTAAATGTAATTTAGTCACCATGTAAATTATTATTTTTTAATAGATTATACTACCCACAACAATTAAACAATGTATAACGTTTAAAACAATTTTTATTTATAATTTGTATTTAACTACTATTTTATCTATATTGTTTAAAACATAAAAATATCAAAATTTTATCGCAGTTTTATCAAATTATTATTTTGAAATCGAGCTAGATAACTAAGTGATTAATTTAAATTAAAACAAGGATATAACACAAGTCTCTTATACTAATCAATTCTTAAATTGTTAAAATAGATTTTTGCGCTTTTTAGACTCTTAGTTTTAATTTCCTGTATAATGTAAAACTATAGTTTCCCAAGGTCTTTATTCTATTACCCTATAATTGTTTAATTTACTTAATTAATTTCAGCACTGTGCCTATAAGGCTCTATATTGTAAAATAAAGCCATACAATGCTTATATAAGTCTATGTGCAATAAATCCCTCATCGTTAATAATCAAAGAAAAATGTGTACCAAAATATCTAGTAAAATTATGTTTCTAAAGTCTACTATCATTATTTGATTGTTAAGCCGTATATAAATACATACAATTAAATAAAAAATAATGCGCCCTTGTCTCTGAAATTAGAGATTTATAAAAAAAAATAATGACAATACACATGCAGTGCAATTTACTATAGATATATAGAAAAATGTCATTATTATATATACATAGGTATCGCATTTAATTTAATTTTAAATTTTTAGATAACTATTATACTATAAGACTTAACAATTTTGGATTTTAGATGGCAACTAGTTGGGTCTCGTGGTAAAAATATCTTTTGAATTGCGGCTTGTGTTTTTCTGGGTACTCATACATACGAATTGAGATCCTGATTTCTTAACGTATTAATTTCACTTATAAAACATTTTGACATTTTTTAAATATAAAATTATATAGGTAATCTAAACTTAATTTTCCTCCCATCTTTGTACAGACTCAGGTCTGTGTGTAGCATCAATTGACTACAAGTACGTTACAAATGTTATTATTTTAAAATTAATATTATATCTGTTACTTGTATGATATTATTTTTATAAATTCAAGTTTGTCAGTTAGGTTTTTTCTAACTGCTTCATACTTTTAGAAATAAATGTTTCTTTTTCTAATATAATGTATTGTGTGTAGAAATAACCAACCCTAAGAAAGAAATCCATCAGCAATGAACTTTTTCATAATAGGTGTATTTAGTATTTTGGAACTTAAATTTACATTATACTGTTAATTGTTATTATGAAACAGCAGTCAACCAGTTACCATTAAAGATAGGAAATATTTTTGAACTAGTTAAAATCAATATAATATAATGTTATAAACCTGTAATAATATTATAATCAAATGAGGATCAATAATAATGTTGTATAGGTAAGACAGATATTACAAATATTAATGGGGCCGCCGCACCATTCGGACACAATGCAATAAAACCTTAGGCCTCAATTTGGACTAAACTTTTTTTCGAAGTTATCTTTGAAATGCAACTAGTATGCAGCCACAATTTTAACACCCAACATACGTTTTGATATAAGTATACAAAACATTTTAATAACTGAGAAATGTTGAAAAAAAATTATTCACAACCTTTATAAATGCCGATTTAAATACTAAGATTATATTGTATCATGTTGATACAGATAATATGGTACAGAAACTATACACGAACTCGTAGATATAAAAATAAATAAGTGATAAACGGTGTTGTAGTCAAAATATGTTTACACGGAAAATAACCACAGTCCTATAATATTATTATAACTATTATAAAAAATATATTTTTTTTTTACAAGTGTCACTTTTTACAGTGTCAGGTTACTATGACAACTATGAATAACCACACAACATTAAAATTGATTCTCTTTAAAAACTGATAGACATCTTTTTCATTTTAGTAAAAATATACTAGGACACTTGATGAAAAAATAATCAAAAAATATTATTAGACAATATAAAAAAAAAGCTTAAAATAAAACATTATAGCAAGGTGAATTTTAAAATGTTGAATAAATAAAATACCTGTTAAAAATATTGACAGTCATTTTACGATAAATACATTATAACATAAAGTGTAACAGTGCCTACTATGAGTACAGTCAATACATTTATATAATATATAATGTTATTTAAACATTTTACATATTGAGTGCTTTACTAAGTAAAGCTTTATACCTTCAAAACTTAGATCAATAACTATAATTTAAAAATGTACCTAATACTAAAACAGTATTGAATCGATACAATTTATTATATTATTATGTATTTTTAGAGAGTAGGTAGGTATGTATTATTCTACCTAATATTTAGTAAAATTATAGTTTATGTTCCACTAAAAGAAATTAAAATTATTAAGTACTTACGTCTTATAAATGAAACTTAATTGATTAATGATAATAAACAATATAAATACGATGATCATTGATATTATTTTCTATTATTACTCAGGATAAATTATTTCAACTGATTTTAAATTAATTCCTTTTGTTAAGCTTAGATGATTTCTCGCTTCCAGAATAATTGTAAGTAAACACTTTTAAAAAAATGCTCAGGTACTCTTAAGAGATCACATTGTTGGAGCACGCAATTAGATGTATTAAAGCAAAATTGTGCAGTTTCTTATTGAAATACGTTTGATGCACAGACCGCACCGCCAATGTCAATAATCTAGTAATCATCTATTCAATGCTATTCAACTAGCAAACAATCAAAGTTTACCTAAAAACACTTTTGCTAGTAAAATAAGGTTCAGTTTGCGATACAGTGACATACATTAGTACCACTCATAGGCGAGACGACATCGGTATGAACTCTTCTAAAATGATTCCTAAGACGTAATGACCAAATCCAACTAGCTTCCAGAAATAAGTAAATAACTTCCCTCGAAATTGAAGATTGAAGTGTTTACTGATCGTGTGAAGGTGTTGACAAACCAATAAAATCTACAATAATTTGAACCGTTGAAAGTCAGTGAACCGTTCAGATTTGTTTGCCCATTAAAATTAAAAGCTATACGCCAAAAAAAAAAATTGTTATACCCCCCCCCCCCCCATATAGTTATCGCTAAATCTCCACCGCTGCCTCAGCATTATTATCAAATAGACGATTGACGATTTGTCCTCGAAAGGACACGGGCCTAGTCGAGGGTGGTCACTTCAAGTAAGTATATATAGCATTAAAATATCATAATATTGCGTTCGGCTATATAAAATAATATGTAGTTCGAGAAAACTTAATCAATAACAATACCACTGGATACACTCGCCGCACTTGTACACGTTTTTTCCGTACCATATTTTATTATTATTATTATTATTATTATTATCATATGTGTCACCGTCTCACATGATAATACAATATAATTATCGTTTGACGTTATTTATACGTTGTTTCGATGGTTTATTGAACCGCGTCGTGTGCGCTCGTTGGTGTTTTTACAGAGGCACCTGATGCGCTGCGGCCTGGCCGATCCGTTGGACTGGCGCGTCCGGAACCTGTTGCGGTCCCGGTCACGTGTCAACTCGGCCATCTACATTAGCCCCGTCTACCAGGACGCCCACGTCCGAAACGGCATTTCGGTGAGGCCGATACGGAAGGCCCAGAGCGCGGACTTCCTGCCCAAGTACGACTACAGCGGCTGGGCCAACTACCAGCAGTTCTCGCTGCCGCTGTCCTCTGGCCGAGGTGGCGTTTGTGGCGGTGGCGTCTGTGCCAGCAGCGTCTGCACCGGCGGCGTCTGCGCCAACGCCGCCTGCGCGGGCAGTGGCGCCTGTGCCGGAGGTGTCGAGAGTACCGTCCACCAGCGGCACATCAAACAATTCCAACTGCCCACCGTTTCCATATCCATCGCGTCCGACTCGGATAAGGCGCTCAACGAACTGCTCATCTAAAAATATATGCACTGTACCACGGTACGTCCGGCACCTCATCGGGCCGCACTCATCGTAATGCGTTCCGGATTTCCCTAAATCTACGTTTTTACATCATGTACAATAATATTACGTTATGAAATTATATAATGTTATTATTTTGTTTCTTTCGTTTGGATGCTATACTGGTTAGGTACAAGACATTTAACTAAAGCTCCATTCACACGATAATAGTCATATGTTGTAGCAAGCAATTTTTAAATATACCTAATGCACTAATATACCCATTATACTATACATCCATTACCTAAACTTACTTAACTCTAACTGTACACTGGAAAATGTAGGTACCTGCTAGAAGTAATTACTTACAATTTTGCAGCAAAAATAAATGATTAACGATAACAAGTGAATATCAGCTGTTACATTTAGTTTTTGCGGGGTTGATTTAGTATAATGTCAACAATTAGTAAAATTAATAAAATAATACAATTTAAATGAATGAAACATTATTTAAGACATTAACTTTAATAAAACTATTGATAATAATTCAGTATTCTGATTGACTGAACATGTATTCTTTAACTGTAGAATATGTCCCCTACTATCAACAACTATATTATACCTACATTTTTGTAATTTACGATATCTTAGTACACAGGCTACCATAGGGATATGGGATATCACAATAACTACTATCGTGTGGAACGGACTGGAGAAATCAATATCATATCGGTACTCATTATACTAACTCGCTGTATAGTACGATCTTTTCTAAAATATGTTATAATAGACAGACAGAATAAAAAATATGTAGGCAACGATGCGTCTCCTGCATAACTTACAGTAAATTCTCATCATGTGTAGAGGGGAACGAAAAACAAATTCGATACATCGAGTTGTATTGTGATTGTAATATTATTTTAAGGGGTTTTCTATATAGAGTTGGAGATTGTGAACAATTCGAGATATCGATGATCGTGGCATATTAATATTATAATATATACGTCATAAGCCTATAGGTACCTACCGTACGACCATCAGATCTGTTAGACGTTTTCTGACATTTAATAATAGATAATATCTTAGCGATAAACGTGCGTAGAACAATATCGTGTATTGAAGGTATTTAATGGAATTAGTACTTAGGACTTTTGTTGTCGTGTTCCAAAACTACGTAAGTAATTACTAATTAGGACATGCCGTGTGTGATATCAGTAACAGTATCTAATACATGACATCATAATATAGTACGCTGTTTCAGTAAGTATATAAACAATTAGTAGATAGCTAGTCTTATAGGTCATAGGTATAAGTATACATTATAATAACTAGGGCTTGGATTTATGTACAAATACATTTTTTCACTGTGACATGATAGGTGAGTGATTAATTCGTTTCAACCGATTTCCGATGAAATTAAGTATATTTTATTCCACACATTTTTACTTATTTTGCCATAAGTACATGTTTTTACATATTTCTCAATGATTTCATTTTTCCTGCATATTTTGGCAATTTTTTTATTTACGATTTATTAGATTTATTAATAATTATATACGATTGTATCACTCCTTTGGACATTACAAATGTGAAATTTGCTATCATTACCTCTGTTGAAGTCGAGCGTTTCTTTAGTCGGTACCTAAACAAATCTGTGTAACGACCAAACCGTAGATCATATTTTAAAATTGACAATTTGAGTATGTTTATGGTATCTCATTGCTATCAATATCAAGGTGAATAAGGTTCAATTTCATAATAATTTTTATTCAAGTGCCTTAATTTTTTATTTTCATTTTTTCCCATTTATAAAGCAATTTCTAATTTTTTTTTTCTGTTTGTTTTTTTGCAATCTTTGAAATTCCATATTTTCCTTTTTTTATCACATATTAAGCGATTTGTTATTACATATATATTTACATATTTCGGTTTTTTAAATATTTATAAATCCAAGGCCTAATAATAATAACCATACACAACTATTATAATTATAAATTACAAAAATTGTATTGCAATAGCGTTACACGTTACACGTCATATTATAGAGTTTTTTGTTTATTTATTCAAAGCAATTTAACATAATATTAAGTAGGTACCTATATATTCCAGAGTAAACACTCGAAACTATTCAATAAAATATACTTTAATTAAAATGCTTAGTTAAATGGAAATTTGTTATAAAATAGTTGATTAGTAAAATTAGACTTAACATACACCCAATATCAGAATAATATTAAGTTTGAATTCAATATAAATATATTTCTCTACTAAAGCGGTAGGTAGGTACTTATGCAAGTCCATGTTCAAATTAAGTAAAATTTCATACTCCAAAATTTAAACATCTTAATATTATCCTCTAAGATGTTTGGAGTCGCACTTGACTACGTTTCTGGATGGTTTCAATTTATCACTACCTGGGACGTCTGTAAATACTGTCTTATTATTAAAATCGTTATACGAGTAACATGAGGTTTTGGGACAAATCGTACATAGTTTAATGTACATATATTTTTTTACAATTAATTATTTTTAAATACGTTAAATAACTCATCTAATATTAATTTAAAATAAACATTGATCTCTATCAAAGTAGGGTGATAAAAAATGTATTTTTATTTTATAAATTTTAGTTATTCATTTACTTACAAAGTATACTGTATACAGTATACACATTATCTCTTTCTTTTACAAACGACTTGAATCTACCTTTTTCAAAACTATTTAACTACTTGTGCCGATTATATTATACCAAATAAAAATATAAGTTGAAATAAGTCTGAATAGTCTGATAACATAATTGATGAAAACACAAAAAACGAAGTAATAAAATACATTTTTAAGAAAAAATAAATAAATTTGAATCGTTTAGCTAGAACCAACAAGATAAAAAATTCAATTAATCTACCTTATATCGGTCTGCAATCTACATATTATCTACCAATCAATCCACTTAGTATCTACATTTTTTTTCCTAGTGTTAAATAACATTTTTTAACTTTTTAAAATCAGTAATCGGGTATGTATTATATATATTATTACATATGTATTTTATAGTTTAAATTTTTCAATAATACATATAATAAACTCTGTTTTGTTTATTACACTTAGCTTCGACTACAAGTGTCATTAGCTTCATGATTATTATAATAAGCCTATATTATTAAAATATTACATAGCTTTAAAATATGTGTGTGCCAGGTGTATCTATATGGCTATATGTGTCTTCATAATATTTACATAATCGATATTAATAGTTTTAATAATACGCATAATAACAATCATTTCACATAAAAATAGTTTAAATATTTTTATGTAAAAGAAATGAAGCAAATCTATTATAATTAGCACATAACATAATAGGTGCCTAATACCTATATATTTGTACTAATTCATAACAATATAACATATTGTGAATATTATTAAATTTAAGTTAAAAACAATTAATTCGTTGTATAGTTTAATTTAAATTATTCAACCTCCAGTTATAAACACGATAGCATTTACTTAATAGGGATCTCTCATCTAATTGTTATATTATAAAATGATAAATAGAATATTTCTGTTTATAAAATAACAAATTTAAGTATATCAAACAAAATATAAAATAGGCAGTATTGATATTTGGAAAGTATATTAAATCACCATTGACCATCAATAAATTAAACATATGTATTAACATAATGTAAGAAAAAGTAATTTCACCCAAATAATTCATAGGTATATTAGCTTTTCTCATACTTCTTTATAAAGTCATAAATCATAATAATATATTATCCACGTTTAATCTTGTGACTGGATTCTATTTAGAGTATAAAGTAATCAATGAAGTAGTAAATCATTTCAGAAATATTGTCTTTGTAGGTTACTATAATATTTATTATATTCCATTTTGAACAAGATTTTTTCAAGCAATAATGGAATATCATGATTTTTATTACATTCAGCTTTTTTAGAAACCTCGTGAAAAAAATAATAGACTTATATAGAAAATATACAATTTTCCCAGACTTGCTAAATTACAATTTTTCAATAATAAAAAATAAGAAAAAAAAATAGTTTTAAAAATAATACTTCTGTGAAAATTAGTTTACTATATTATGTGAATAGGTACATTTATTTTTTTCCATTTAATAATCCAATTATCAAAAAAAAAGTTATGTTAGCTATTTTCTCTTTTATATAGAGTATAATCAGAGTTCATAATTTTATTTAAATTTGCTTAACTTTGTTATTATATATACAGTATAGAACTAAAATAAATACATTTGAATGTAATTAATATTTTGTTAAATTGTAGATATTATTATATTTTAAGAAAAAAATAATTTTAAATGCCAAAAAGTACATTTTATTTACAAATATTTGTTTGGTTATTTTAAGTGAAAAATAGGCATTTATAACTACCTCTCAAAAATATATACATTTTTAAATATTATATATTATATTAGGTAGATAATAAAATACACAATAAATAATAATAGTTTAAGATATATACGTTTTATACCTATTACATTTTTAGTTAAAGTTTTTATTACCAAGAATTTATTTTCCAAAAAAATATGTTTCTTTTAAGCATGTGGTATATGCATCTTAGAAAACTAATAATTATGGATGCTCGGTATTAGTTGAATTATAATTTAAACACAAAACATTGGCCAGCACAAACGAGTCTATATGAATAAATATAATTGTTAAACTTATTATTTAGTACCTAAGTATATGATATTTTGTGTTTGGATTTAAATTCATAAATAAACGTCTTACTGAAATGTAAAGTAGGTGATAGATATCTCATAATCGTACTCATATCTAATAAATTTCATTCTATCATAATAAAATAAACATCAACAATCAACATTAATATTGTATGGAAATATACCCAATCTATTCTTATTAAATATCGAAACAGTTTAATAAACTGTATTATCATATAATATATATATAATATAATTTGATTTAAGTTACTTAAATAATAAGAACATCTCAGCAAACTTAAGAACATTAAGTTTAAAAAAAAGTTATAAATGTCATCTGTGAGTAGTTTTTACGAAATAATTAGGCAGCCAATGACTCGGCTTCAGAAGCCTATTCTCAATACACAAAAATTAAAAAATACAATATTATTAACAATTTATTAACTTTCGTCTACTTAACTTGAGTATTTATATAAATATTAGTACTTATAATCATTATTATTTATATGATCAACCGAATTGAATGTGTATATAGTTATAAATATTAACTTTAAATATAGCTAAGTATTACTTACGTAGTCATA